AACTCAAAGTGAAGATTTATTTTAAAATACAGAACAAGGCCTCAGCAACGTTCCCTTTATCCGATACACCCTTAAGACCACCGCTGTTCCAACGAAATTCTCTAAGATTTGAAAAAACGCAAGACACTCTTAATGCGTATGGTGTGCACTAATGGCACGACGACCCGTCCGTTAGTGGCGTACTGATGGCTAGTTCCGCCGTCGCGAAAGGGTTAGAATTGCTTCCTCTTTTACTTTTTCCATATACTTACCATTTGCGAGAAAAACGCTGGTTCAATATACCGCGAACACCCTGCATATACACTCTCGTTGATAAATATTAGGGCACTTACTGAATGTGAAGCAAATCTAAATTGTTAAGAGCCAAAAAAATTACCGAGCTTGAAATCTCATAATGTAACGAGTGCAAAAGTTTATATACCGGGTGGACCAATAGGAATTACCATCTTAAGTACCTCTGGAAGCATGAAATTTAAAATGAAAATTGTTCGGTATGAAAGGGTCCATGTGTGGATACGATTGTTTTGTAGGTAGAGTCGCTGAGGAAATGTGAATGTTATTCCTACTTTTTTAACGATATGTCATAGTGTTTTATTTATTCGTTAGTAGTAGCCCCTAAAACGAACATAAAGACTTATAACACAAGGTCAGTCAAGGTCACAGAAGCACACGTGCCTCAATAAATTCTGGCGTCGTTAAAAGAACAATTGAATCAACAGTAGCAATGTAATCAACCTTCTGTGACCTTGACTTGACGGTGTGTTATAGGTCTTTGTATTCCTTTTAAAGGCTGTTATTAGCAAACGAACAGTTAAAAGAACTGGGATGACCCTCGCACCACTTTAGCGACTCCACCCATAAAAAAAATCGTTATTACCATACGACAGTCCTTTTTACAGTGAACAAATTTCATTGGAAAAATTTTTCTCTTACTTTCATAATTCCAGAGATAGTCGAAGTGGTAATTCTTATTGATCCATCTTGTATAACAAGTAACAGAAATTTATACAACAAATTTTTAACAATTTCATTGCGCAGCTTTGCACAACACTTTCTTTTTTTATAAATACCATAGTTTACAAGATCTACAGGAAACTAAGAGAACACGTTAAGCGCCAAGCCTGTTTTGTCTTCCTCTCCGTTTAGCCCGTGATATCCGATTTCACCGATATGCTGGCGGCCGGAGATCTGTGTAAGGTTGCGATAAGACTGCATGTGTTTTAATAATACTCGTTAAAAATTTTTTTTTTTGGTAACAAGTAATATTTAGGTACATTCTTTTATGGTCTTTAAATTATTTAAAATTTATTAATCGAAGAATATAAATTTTTAAATTGTACATCGTCAGTCACCGGCGACTGACGCGGTCCGAACGAAAAGTATAGTGTCAGTCACCGGCGACTGACACGGCGCTTAACGTGTTAAGGGGTGTCTTCACGCTGAAGAACAAAAAAGTAGCGAAAAATAAACTGTCCTAATAATTCTATCGAGGTCCTCTAAAAACTTGCAAAATTTTCAAGTTACCGAACTTCCCTTGTAAGCTCTTTTTAAAATAAATTTCCAACGTGTACTTGCTTGACGCGTAACTTCACGTAAAAAAGGGAAATAAAAGGTAGCAAAAGTAAGTACTTGCCTCTCAACTTCAACCTTCGGTTCCGCTTTCATCGCTGCCTCGAGGACGCTGGGTAACCGTTGCGGTTCCGCGGCCGGCGAGAATGGCCTGCTAGGGCTGGTGGTGATGTACTGGGGCGACGTATTCTTGAATTCCCCTGTATTCGTGGTGTAGGTAACGCGACTCGGCGAGGAGAACGAATCTTCAGTCGTTTGTTCCTCGATCGCGGAGAACACCTGATTCTGACTGAACGTCACGATCTTCGGCGATCCAGGAGCCTCTTCCTGCTTGATCACTGGTACCATGTCGGCGGGCTGCGGAGACAGGGGTGGTGAACTTGGGTCCGGACTAGACGTTTCCACGGTTTGCGTCGCGCCAACCGGTGCCAAGGACACCACGGAAACTACCTGAAGCGCGGCGACAGCTTCCTCTGTCTCCTGAGCGATCACGTTGTCTGTGTGTTCGATTACCTGCGGCAGAAAATTCGTGGAATAATTGTAGAATTGTCGATAATGCTCGACGAAGTGTCGTACGTTGTATTCAGGGTGAACCGAGTAATGCCGAATCCACACCGACCAGAACTGTTCGCGAACAGTTCGCAAACTGCACGCAGAGCGTTCGCGAACAGGAGCTCGCTAATGAGTTCACTGTTCGTGAAAATGTCTACACTGCCGTCGAACCTGGTTCGCGATCTGAAAGTGAACTGCTCGCGAACGCCAGTGTGGATCCGGCATAACGTGATCACCTTAATTAAGGTGGTACACCACCCAGAAACTTCTAAAAATAGGTAAAAGTTTGGGAATCTTTTTCATGGGTAATTACTAAATGAAAAGTTTCAAATTTTTTCAGAGGATATAAATGTAACTTTCAGCTTTTTTCTCCAATTTTTGAAAAGTAAAAATGTTAGAAAATGGAGGAGTTATTGCGAAAAAACTCGATTTTAAAGTCGATTTTCTTTTATAAAAAGAGGTTTTTCCTCTTCAAACTCCCGCCATTTCTATAATTATAATTTTTGTAACATCGTACATCGTAGGTAATACATTTATATTTATAAATTAAAAAGATTTGTTATTTCAGATGTTTCATTTATAAATTAAAAAGATTTGTTATTTCAGATGTTTCAATGCTTACAGAATTTGTTTCGCAATTAGCGAATAAATCCTTCATTTTGTAACATTTTTACTTTTCAAAAATTCGAGAAAAAGCTGAAAGTAACATTTATATCCTCTAAAAGAGAATTGAAACTTTTCCTTCAGTGGTTACCCATGAAAAAAATTCCCAAACTTCGCCTATTGTTAGACGCCACAGGGAAGTGTGTATTTTCCGGACAAGCTTGATAATTATTAAAAAAAGAAAGTGTTTTCTATTGATATGTACCTGAGGCTGATAAGTGATCAGCTGATTATCCCTAAATCTTTCCGGGTACAGTTGACTCTGTATTGCCCTCATCTGCTTCTCTAGGTGCAACCTTGCGTGACGCTCCCTCTCTAACTGTCGTCTCAGTTCTACCACCTCACTGTTAACCACAGAATGTCCCTCTGTGGTCACTGTTATTACCGACAATGGTTCAGGGGACATGCTGCCCAATCCTTCGTCGCCGCTTTCGCTGACGTGCATTGGCAGACTAACCACCACACCTCCTGAAACCAAATAAATACCATAGAAAATTCATTAGCTAATTGTACCAGTGGAAGAACCAGATGAAATTCTAATTTAACCCTTTCGCTACGGCGAGTTTGTGACTACGCCTCGCTGACGACTCAACGGACGATTGCGTTTTCTGTTCTATAAACTTTGCGATGAAGATTATTACTGTAATTGGAATCATTTTTTGAGAATAATAATTATCATTGAATAGTAATGATTACCATTGGACAGTAATAAGTATTATCATTGGACAGTAATAATTACCATTGAACGGTAATAATTATTATCATTGGTTAATAATAATTATCATTGGATAACTTAATTTTTATCAACTAAAATTACAATAATAATAAAACTTTGTGTTTTATTACAGTAATTAGAATTATTTTTTGAAAATTTATTAATTTGTAATAATTACGATAATTATGATTATTTTCAAAAAATAATTCTAATTACTGTAACAAATCATGAAGTTTCCTTATTGTCATTATTTTAGTTGACAAAGATTAGGCTATGCAATGGGATTTTATTGCAACACCCTAATAAACTATCAAAGTTGATAAAAATCAGGCTATCCAATAATCATTTTTTGTACTTGAGTGTACACTCTTCGGAGCGAAATGGTTAATATTTCTGCAAGTCTCGTGAAACAAACAACAGCACTGATACGCAGTGTTCGAGATTATTTTTTGCATTTATAAAGTATACGTATTTTTGCATGTTGATTATGTTTTAGTTGCGACAGACAAAAAAATCGGTTGAACGTTAATGTTCCTCTCAGATATAATTGCAAGGTATTTAGTTACAAATTGACCGTACCTAAAATACGTATGTACACACTTGACTTGCAAAAGGTTAATGTATACTTGTACCGAATTCATTTATTATAGTTACAATTAGTTAAATGAACCATGAGATTTAACCTTTAAACCACGTGATACGGAATGTTTCGCACGTTCTCAATGTGTGCTTGCTTAGATTCAACATGGATATGTAATTACAGCTATTAAGTAGACGTAGAAAGTTCACAGTTGAAGTCGCAGTAATCTTCGATTCGAATTTTTTCCTTTCTTTTTAATACACCCTCTAACAGAAAAAGTTCTTAACGCACACAAATCTTTACTCTTTGAATCAGAATTGTGGACTGATGATACAGTACAGTAAATTCTCCACAATTGTCAGTCCGCAAGGAAGCTAAACCTGACACTTGTAGAATCGGCCCTACATTTTTTTTTTTTTTTACGTGAAGGTAGGCCGACTCTATGTGATAAACAATTGGCAACCAAACGGTGGCTCTCCCTCTACATTCGACGGATAATGTGTACAGGTATTTAATGTATTTTTTTAGCAATTTGTTTTTGTAATTCATCCAAAGCGATATATTATGAAATTAAATTAATCACTCAATAAGTATTAACATTAGATTGTTTCCTCGATATGGCCATGGTGGTCATCAGTCACTGGAGCGCCTCAAATGATTAGAATAATTAAAATAAAATAAATGTTGTCAACTAAAAATTTTGAACGTCATAGCTAGTTAGACATTATTTTCAATTGAAAAAAAGAATTATAAAGCATAATACTATAATCCTATCCTATGCTTAAAATGTATTTTCTTGCAACCTGTAAATCTGGGGCGGCAGTGAACGTGTTAATAAGTAAATGTTGTTCAAATTATGTCGCGTTTTATGTCATTTTCATCAGAAAAATCTCATTAATATGTTAAGAAAAATTTCGGGATAAAAAAATCGAGTGATGTAGCGTTACACGCTTGACTGACAGCGAGCGAGATAACATAGGCGTGGGACCATCTGTACTGACACTTGTAGAATCCAAACTGACTGACACTTGTAGAGAATTTACTGTATTTTGATGCTTCAATTGTTTAAAAGCTCGTACAATTTTTCCTTTAAACTGCAGAAGATTGACACTATTTTCTGCGTAGACTATTTCTTTACGAAACGTAACATTACCGCAGTTTAATCAACATAAAAGTACGAGCGGAAGCAATAATTCGTACCGAATTTTTAAATTCAATTTTCTCGAAAGCCGAGCCTTTCATGAAAAAATTTTATTCGATATTACCGGTTTATTTTTTCACACAGAATCACCTCCTGCCTGGTCGTACACCCGAGCCACCCTGTACACATTCAGTTATCGTCACTCAGGTGTTTGTTTCTATCCTCAAAATTGACATAAAAAAACATATCAAATTTGAAAAAAGAAAAACATCTTCTCTCAGCTAGAGACAAAGGAAGAATTTTCAAAAGCATTATACCAGAATAATTCGATACTCAGTCCGGACGT